GCTAAAACAGTGCTTAATTGGAAAAAAATTACTAAGATAATTTGAATAAATACACGAGTGATTTTCTTAAGGTAATTACACGGTATCCCTCCGTGTTTCCGTTTGCCTCCTAAATTTTCTTGGCAAACCTTTTCTTCCAGAGATACTGGAGGAAGTTTGACAGGCGTTCACAGAGAGTTACGCTTCTATGGAGTCTCTGCTTCACTTATCCCAAACATCAGATCACGTAAGTGAATTAAAGAAACGTTACTGGAGGGGGAAAAAAGGAACAGGGTCCTGGCTTGAACTATGTGTGTTGGTTATTTACATTTAAAGCCAGTTATATGAAAATGGCATAATGAAGGGAAGGGGGACTAAAAGACGAAAGATAAGAAATGTAGGGGTGTGTAAAAAATATGGGCACGTGTCATTCCGATGTGTCTGGTGATTGTTGTAGAGTATGGATTTTTAGAAATCTTTCTTGATAAATGAGTGAATGGATTTTGTGGATCTCTTAAGTTAGGAAAACTGACCTATTCTTCTGTTAATCAACCTAATGTGTGATATTTTACATGTTGCTTCTATGAGTATAAATTTATATGACTTTCATGAAAAATAATCTGAACATGCTTTTTCAAGACCCTTATTCATGCGTGCCTGTTACCTCCTAATGCCCTTTATAGGAATCTAGAGGACAGACACCAAAATAAAGACTTACGTACCGAGATATTCAACTCAATATTATTAATAGAAAAAAAATTGAAAAGAGTGTATTCACCAATCAGTACATCGATGGAGTTAGAATGCAGGCACTAAGATGGTGGCCTTCCCCCTAAAAAATGACATAGGAAAATGCCCTCGCATTGAATGAGCACGGTTGAATACAAAATATTACACTGCATAACTACAGACAGAGGTGTCAGTCCTTTCAAACATAGGATCGATCAGGTCATTTCTGTGCTTAAAACCTCGCAATAGCTCTGCATTTCCCTTGAAGTGAAACTGTTTAGTTTGTTGCCATAACTGACTGCAAGGCCCTACTTCCATGCAAGACCCCTCTGGGACCTTGTGTGCTCCCTCCCTTCCTCCACTAGGGCCACACCGGCCCCCTTGCTATTCCTAGAAAAGGGCAGGCATTCTGCAGCCGTAACACCTTCCCCAGCTGTCCCCTCTGTCTGGGATGCTCTTTGCTAGGAGACCTGCACACCTCACTTTGTCACCTCCTCCAGTCTTTCTCAAATGTCCCTTCTCCATGCCGCTTCCTATCATCATCCTATTGAGTTGCCACTCAGCCCTCCCTATCCCTGGCCTCCCAATCTTTTCTACCCTGCTCTATTTTTCTTGTGTCAGTATCATCACCTAACATTCCATAGAATGTATTTGTTTATTACTTATTATGTGTCACTCTTCCCTGCCCTTCCCCACCCTGCAGGGTATAATCTCCACAAACATGGGCATCTTGGTTAGTTTTTCATCATGCATTCCCAGTCCAAGGCCAATGCCTGGCACATAGTAGGAGCTCAGTCGATGTTTGTTGCATCGATGAGCTAATTCAAACATAAATGCCTGCACACCTTCATGTGTATAAAAACATGAAAATGTTAAGAGTTGTTTTCTTTGGATAATGGCATTATTTCTGATGCTTTCTTTCTTGTTCTTTTTTATGTTTTCTAAGTTCTCTAGACTGAGCATGGAGAGAGAGAGAGAGAGAGAGAGAGAGAGAGAGAGAGAGAGAGAGTATGCGACTTGAAAAAGATCTTTAAAATGTGTGATCTCTGTGTTGGAAATCTAGTGCTTATGAAAAAAATTGTGAATTGCAAAATTCTATTATAATGACAGCTGTAAGGAATTTCCCTGATTATTTTTTCCTTCAAAATCATATAAAATGTGAAGTCCTTGTATAGGTAACCCTTCAGTGATGAGTTCTCATGGGTTGCACCAAAGGTAACAGACAATCCAGGTGCTACAGTGAAAGTGGACCCATGTGACTGGCCGTGGTGACAAAACCAACAACCCCAGCAAATGCTGCCTGAAATCAAAGGTTAACCTCTCACGGCAACGCTTTAATGCTGCCCCAGAAGGATCATTTATCAGATAGTTGTTCCTGAGCCTACATCTTGCTTTCCTTAGATCCCTGGGGGATAAGGCTGCGGGATGATTTCATAACTGTCTATGCAGACAATGGGCACAGTGGAATTAAACTTGGACGATCCAGTGGACTGAGTGCTTCACTCACTCTAGATAATGTGACTTGACGTAGATCAAGAGCAGAAGCTCGTGGAAGCTGCTGGAAGGAGTTACTGGCACAGTTTATAACAACATCACCACACCCCAGAAACACATCCCCTCCAAGTGGCTCTTGCTGTTCTGCTCGGAAACAATGCCAATGAGAATGGCTTCATTTTTCTTAAATTACCTTAACAGTTTTGGGAATTTTATTGATCTCTTACTTGAATATATTAGATTATTTTTAAATATCTAAAGCCTCTTGGAAGTTTTTCAAGAAGAGCTAAAAAAGCACTCAGTGTTTTGGAATGGGGTTTGAAGAACAGTTCTTTAGAAAAGGGCAGGGGCCATAACCATGTCGCACATTTTGGGAAGCAGGCTAGAATTTAATGAATGGCTCTTCTAAATGTACCTGGAGTTTGTATTATTACAACTAGAGATTCTTTCCCCATAGTCCAATTAACTTCATTCCCTGTCAAAATCATTTTATGATTTTACAAAGTACAGCTTGTTAAAGGTCATTTAAAACAGAGGTATAGTTTTACATTAAAGACATTTAGCAATGAGAGTAAAAACCAGAACTGAAAACTATGTTGACCTGCACAGTGTTAGAATATTTTAAATTAGTGGCCAGCACTTGAAAACTGGAAGAATGCACTCCAAAATTCTGAGTTTTTGTCTTCTCCTAAAACACTGGTAAATCAGGTTACACTAGGTAGTAACTGGCAGACTTGGGATCCCTTTAAGTTCAGCATGCTTTGTGAGTCTGTGGCATTCATTTTCGGTACAAGTGCTGGCATGGAGAATAATTTGATTATGCGCCCTTCAAATAACAAAGGTCCCTGACATTTTAAAAATCTGCTTCGCATTTTGAAATAAAGCACTTTGGTACATAATTTTATTCAGTTTGGGAGAGATCTTTTCTGCTGTCACAGCAGAAGTTATCATAAGCTATCCACAAGCTATTTATACAACTAGCAGATAATTGGACTTATTTTCCTCTTGGAGACATTATCAGTAGAAATCACAATTTAGTAAATGTATGTCTACCTATCAATGTTACTAGGTATCAATCTCCATTTTAAGGCACACTGGTATTTCATATTGAAAGAAGAGGGTTTTACAATCTAGCTGGGGTTGAACTAAAATTGCTGGATTTTATTTCCAAATTTGTTATTTAGTTTTTGAGGTGAAAAGGAACATCTGGTTCACTACTAAACCCCCAAGATAGTTATATGCCTACCAATTAGTCCATGTCCAATAAATATGGTAGGTCCATAAACAACATATCTTAAAAAAATCTCAGTGTGTCTATTTAATTGTCAGATAAAAATAAAGACAAGGTTTTAATTCTAATTCTGTGCTTTTGTCTGTGGGAGTCTACAGTCCTGAGATGCAAATGTTAGTGAAACTAATCAGATAGCTAGAAATAATCCACTATAAGTAGAACCGTTATTTATTATTATTTTTTTTAGCCATTCTGCCACCTGTTGGCAGCTCAGAGGCAGCTCAGCTTGGGCTGTGAATCGAACCAGCGACCCTGTTGCTTTGAGCTCGCACTCTCAAGCGAGCTCTTACCCAGCTGAGCCACTTGGCCGGCCTAGAACCGTCATTTTTAAAATCAAGACAAAACTCGTGTAAATCATAATTGCAGTATTTGAAATCAGTAGAATGAACAACCACACATGAAACAAATATGGGATATGAAAATCCTAGCAGCTAATATAAATATGTCAAAATTAAAAAAATAATTTCTTATGTCACATATGAAAATATTACCATGTGCTGGAAGTCACTTTTACTAGTTTGGCCTTGGGAAAGTTGCTAATCTCCCCAAGCCTCAGTTTCTTCATCTATTAAATGGGACCAATACTATTTATTTTGCCAGATTTGTTGTTGAAGGGAGAGAATCAGTCAATAGTAACAGACACGCTTTATTGAGCACCCACTCTGCCCCGGTCCTTGTGACAGGACTGACATTTGTCACTTCAAATCCTCACAGCATCACAATAGACAAGGTGCTGTTAGCCTATTATATTCGTAAGAAGACTGACACTCAGCTTAGGAATTTGCTCAGTTGCACAGTTAATTAAGTGGCTTAACACAGGATCTGAACCCAGATGCACCTGACCCCAGCCTGTGCTTTCGCCCAGATCCCCTGCTGTCTTCATGTAGCAGTACCACTTGCTTTTGTCACATGCTAACTTCTCAAGAGCTGTTTTTCTTTAGGGTGCCCCATTTTATGGGGATAGTGGGGTTCAGAGAAGAGCAATGCAGACAAGGGGTGAGGGGCAGTATGAGGGGATGTCTCTGGCTGCTGCACCAGGTTGAATGGCTGCTCCTGTTGAGAAAAGACGGGGACGTGAGATGTTGAGAAGCATCACCAAAAGCACTGCCAGGGTCGAGGCCTCCGTGGAAATGGAACAGAAAAACACCCTCCTTCTGTGATGTCAGGGATGAGGCCAGCTCTGCCTAATTGTAAATTCCTGCCACCTGTCTAATCTTGGTGCCGAATCCCTGAATAATACCGTAGAGGCATTTAAACTAGAAGAGGCTAGCAAGACCCTGAAGGGAGGGGACACAGACAGGGTCGAATTTGACGGTAAAAATAGGTAAGGTGCACAGCACAGTCTGCGGTTTGGTGGAAATTATACCGTAAAACAGGAAGCCTGTAAAGTCAGAGTCAAAATCCGAGGGTTGGGAACCCAGGGGCTCATGGGATGCTGGAATGAAACAGGAGGCCCTGGTCATGATTTGGCCGTATAATCCCCTGGACCCCACAGCCCACAACCCACCTGGATTCCTGGGAGTGTCTCCTGGCAGGCAAGGCAGCAGAGAGGCAGGTAGGTGAGTTTGGTTCAACTACCCACATGGCTGGTGGAGAGGGTCACACCCACAGTAAAGGAGTTACAAGCACCAGCAGATGTCAGAGGAAGCAGGAGAGGAGAAGGAGAGCAGCGGGGTGGGGAAAAAACAGAAACAAAAGTTTTAGTACGATTCAAGGAGCAAGACACACTCACAGCAGGCTGTCTTGAAAAAGAACAAAATTAGGTAGATGATGAGGTTGTAATAATTAAAAAAAAAAACCCAACAACTCGGGGAGGGGTTCCAAGATTGCACATGTATTTTCAGATAGCTTCTGATTTGTGTCTTTGATTGAGCTTCACATCTTTAACGCATCAAAAGGTAACATATCTTGTAGATAAGAATTTCAGAGCCTCCCAACTGGTTTATGGGTATCTATGGATACAGAGCACACTTTGTGCTTCTCCAGCTTAATATTTTTAATATCAAGAGTAATATTGAGAATAGCAGGACAACAGATTTTTATGGACATTTATTCCAGCTTCTTTGAATGCCTTGTCATTAAGTTTTTATATAATACTTACCTGCAGATGTGCTCTAGTCCTTTTTTCAATGCAAATCAGTAATGTGTTACCTCAAGTCTTTCTCAAAGGCTATAAAGTCATTAAAACTATGAAATAAACAATAATATCAATATAGTGTATATAGGAAAAAGTAAATAAGAAGAAATCAGTGACATTTTCTTTGCATCTCCATTGCTGGTAGTCATTGGTACATGATTGGAATTTAAGAAAATTTTACTGTGTGGCTGAAGATACCAGAGAAGAACTAAGGCAGTGAAACATTGGAGATATCAAAGGAGACAGCCAGAGTGAGTGCCCTGGGGAGAGAACTAGGTGAATGAGTGAACATCTGTGGGCACATACGATCCCCAATCTGTGTCATTCACTGAGGGCTGACATTTTGGGGGGAAAGGTCTTGCGTGCTTTCTTTAAATTTAGTCCTAGAAAAATTCATATTTATTGACAGTACATAAATGATTTAAAAAAATTATTTGTCATTATGTAGTGACATATTTAACTTCCGGCGATGCTCTTTTGCTTAAAAGTTCATATTGTCTGATAATGACAAAGCTACATTAGCTTTCTTTGGTTAGCTATTGCATTGTGTATCTGTTTCCATGCTTTTTAGTATTTTCTGTCTTAAATATGTCTTACTTTCTTTGATTTTTTAAAAAAATCCAAATATTAATCTTTGCACTTTGCTTGGAGCCTCTAGTCCACTTACTTTTAATGTAACTGCTGATATATTTAAGTCCATATCTACCATTAAATTGTGCTTTCATCTTGTCCCAAGATGAAATAACTGTTCTTTAGTTTCTTTTGCCATTTGAATCAATTAAGCTTTATCATTTTTTTAGTTAAAATTTATACTCTTTTCCAATTCATTTAGTAATCCCAGAAAAGATAATATCTATATTTATCTTAACACATTCTAAGATTAATCAACATCTTTATACTCCTCCTGATAAATTCAAGAACCTTAGAACACTTTTAAGTCCAACCAACTTCTCCCAACTTGTATTACTGCCTCATATTTTAATTATTTTAACCCCCATAGGGCTTTATTAATATTGTTTTATAAAGTAAATGTTTGCTTAGACTTACTAAATATATAAAACTTCTTTCCTTCTTTCTTTCTTTAGTTATTTTTTGTATCTCAGACCTCATATCTAGGATTGCCTTTCTTCTGCCTGAAGTCAATATTCTATCATTTTCTTTAGCGAGAATTAATGCTCCCAGTTTTTGTCTGTAAGAAAATATACTTATTCTTAGAAGATATTTTCACTAAGCAGAGAATTCTAAACTGGTGATTATTTTCCTTCACACATTGATGATATCATTTCATTATCTTTGGTATCCCATTATTGCTTTTGTGAAGTCTGCTGTCAATCTAATTGTTTAGTTTTTAAATAATGTATTTTTTTTTCTGGCTGCTTTTAAGATTTTCTATCTATCTTTGATGGCCTGTTGATATTTAACTAATCTTATCAGTGCTTTAATTCTTTTAGTAAATTTTAAAATGTTTCCTTGCAATTTAGGTCATTTTCAGCAAGAGGATTGATGACAACTTTGTTATGTTACTGGAATTAAAACTCATAGGCTTTAAAAGTTAGCTGATGGTGTCAGGAAGGACACACAGAAGGAGGGAAATCATACCAGTAGGCTTAAAGGTTGAGAAAAACGTGGGTAGCACAAGGGAGATTTAATAATGTTTGTAACCAGAGGCAATGACCAATTTAGTAAGAACTGACCTATCTCCTAAAAAACTTTTCATAAAGAATTGAAGCAATTAGAAGGAAAAGGTAGTAGATAATTAAGTGATCTAAGGATATCTGGTCACTCAGACATCTCACACTATAGCAGCAAGCTATAGCAAAAAGAACAATGATAATAATTATTATATGCTACCTTTGGAAGTTAAATAACCCTGTCTTCATTTTTTATGAAGGTTAGCATATTGCTAAAATGGCCACATAGCTTATATTATTTTAAGATAGAACTGATTTCAAATCATTCGCTGAACTATACTTCAAAAAAGCATACTTGGTAGTAGATGTCTTGATTTTTAGTTTAGAACATACGGTCTTAATGTATAGCACACAATCTCTTTCATGGAAATAGGCATACTTTAGAGGAAGTTTGCCCCTACACAGTATATCAAGATATCCAGGAAAAGAAAACAGAGTATGTGAATTTATTGATAATTTTATTAAACCTTAAATTTTTGTGTTATAAATTTATTATAACAATATTTTGTCATTTTGCAGAAAAAGCTTAGGTAAGTGACTGGCATACAGAAATGAGATAAGATGTATGCCGCCTCCCTGCCAGGTCTAAATTGCTTTCCCCACAAAGCATTTTTACCTAATGGAAGTTGAGTAACACAATCCAATATCTTAGAGAGGCAGGTTGAATGACCGATTTTCTTATGACTCTTCACTTGAGTTTAGTTGGAAAAACTTAAAAATGAACAAATTTTAGAATGAGATGCAAAAATGGAGGAAAGAATCAAACAGCTACTTTCTTTTTTCTCATGAGTTCAAGCAACTAAAAAAGAAAGTAAATCAGTGAATTAATAAAAAGACAGACAAAATGCAGATCATCATATTAAGTCCTAAGCCATAATGATTAAAGACATTGAACTTGCCAAAGAAAAATATATCTGCATTTTTCCACTTCATGAAAAAAGTACATGAGCCAAGTCAACATGTAAGATATGGTCAATGTGCAAAACATACCGGGGAGATTTTATATCTGAGGCAAAATTTTTAGTTAAAAATAATAAAGTTTTAATTTGGGCAGCACTTCAGAAATTGGAATAATCAATACCACTGCCTAGATTATATCATTGCACAATGTATAGATAAACTATGTGGAAGCCGATTATCCATTTACAAGGGTCATTATTTAGCCCCCCTGAGGTGCCATTTTTCAAAATGGTTTAGCAACATTCCTTCTCTTTGTTCAAGTTCTATTTCTAATCAGAGATGGCTTTCCCGGGTACCATTAGCCATAATCAAAGTGTTCAACGGTATGTTTTCATCCAAATTAATTTCAATGATTGAGATTTCAACTGGCATAGTTGTTTAGATTGTGTTCTTAAAGCTACTTTTGCTCAATCCATTTGCTTTCAGAAGATGAAATCAAGCCTTGGAACTTGGACAAGAATCTCTATTGAAAGGTTAGCAATGAATACTTTTCCCCTCATTCAGGGCAGTAGCTATTTTTGAGAAACAAATTTGATAGAATAAAAATCCTTTGCTCCCTTGTGGCTGGCAGCCGGTGTGAGCAGCTGACCAACTACCGGCGACTGATTGCCTCACCCGGGAAGAGCACAATGACATACCAACATGGGCCAGTGAAGCAGCGTCCTCCACAACTAGACTGAAGAACAAAACAGCAATTTGTCTACCTGTCTGTTCCCCTTCCCCGATTCCCCAACGCTGTTACCCTCCCCCCAACTCCCCAATAAAATCTTAAAAAAAAAAAATCCTTTGCTCCCTTAAGGCAGATGATGAGAATCAAGTAATCAGCACACAGATTATTAAACATCTATAATCCATATGCAGCTATTCTTAATCGCAATGCAATATTATGTCACACATGAATTACAGCAACATAAGAATGTTACTCAATAAAAAGACCTTAAAATGAATGTGAGAATAAATATGCATTTCAGATTTTATTACTCCATAGATTCCCATACAGCTAAGATTCAAGAAACCCTGACTTGTTCTTGGAAACCACACGTCATCCTTTCTAGGAGAAGCAGGGCACGGAATTTTCCTGAGGCCGAGCAGATGAGCGAGGTTCATCATTATTAGGACAACACAGCCATTGGCACAGCAGGTTTATGCAGTTGCCTCATTAGATGCCACTGTGAAAAGTGAACTGAGAGCAGAAAGTGAGCAAATCCATCTAGAGAGATTATGTAAAGAGACTTCCAGGCAGCTTGGTGCCTTAAAACCGTTATTCTCTTATTTCTAAGTGTTCAAGAGTGCTGCAAACATATTTCTGAGAGAAATCCTGTGAATGTAATCTTTGGTGCAAATTTTAATTGCAAACAGACAATGATAGAACTTCTACGTGAAACAGGCAAAAAGGGGAGAACCCAGCCTCGATGTGTAGGAGCCGCTGTGAGCTGTAGCTCAGCAAGGGAACGCAGCGGGCCATCGGTTTAGTGGCCTGTCCTCGGCACTGTGGGACCGAGCGTGTCCTATATAGAAGATTGCCATGGTTGGAAATGTCTTCCCTTGTGAAAGATCAAAGTGAAGATATGCCAACTAAGAGAACACGATTCTTACCCCTCCCCTGCAAGACCTACTTTGAGATGATTACAGTATTTCTCCATACTTTCATAGTGTCTACATTGGGATTTCCCAAAGAAGCTGACATGTGCGTCTCGAATGCAGCCACATCCTGATTGTGACAACTACAAAGAGGAATCATGGAGAAGCTTTATTTATATCAGTCTTGCTGAGGTGTTCTGTATGATTGTTTCAACCG